ACTGAATGATCCTCTTTCCTCCAACACTCTGAAATGCAAAGCACAGTCCAGCGCTCTTTATGAAATTTACAAACGAAGATATCTAAGACCCCCTAGAAGTGGTATAGGTTAAAATTAGTGACTGACGTCACCGGAGAATGACCCATACCTCCACTGGCTACATTTTCTGGCTGTAGAAAACACGGTGAAAGTGTCGTGGGCAGTGAGGGGTGAGGGGATATATTAGAAGAGAAATAACCACCATCTTCACTTCCATCCTTATTTTACTGCATCCTTTCCGTGCAATCTAAGTAAACACTTTTCCTTTCAGGAGACAAATTCAGGGCTTTACTTTAACTTTCAGAAACGACAGGAGAAATCATCCCAACACCTTAGAGAGAAAGATAAGTTAAACACAGGGCCTATATTCAATTATTGGAGCTTAATTCAAATTGCTTAAGCATCCCGCTGACTTTTCATTGTGCGCCACAGGTTTCGATGAATGCACACGATGACTTTTTGCTAGAATTGACACTTCGTACATTTATAACAATATTGGTTAAATGGGAGACTGAGCTGAATAAGCCAGGCTCTGCAGTAGAGTGTGGGTACAGCTTGCTGTTAAGGCAGGAGCACGGCAGGCCTGGGCCAAAGGTAAGCCATCATTCAGTGATGGGAGTCAACAGAGGCAATGTAATATTCTAGTGAAATTTTGAGTAAAAGAGATCACAGTAGGTAAAGGCATGCTAGATCTTCATATTTTATCCTCGTTCCTTATATTTTTGAAGACAATATCTTTATTTTTTTAAATCTATGTCAGCCTAGGTAGTTTCTTCCAATCTATCTTCTAGTTTACTAAGTCTCTCTCATTCAGTGTCAAGTGTAGTACAGATCCACTCCATTGACATTTTATCTTCAGAGCTTACATTATTCACTTCTAAATGTGTAATTCAGGTCTTTGCTAAGTAGACTGCCATCATCAGTAAACTCTATTGTTCATGCTTTATTCTCTGTGATCCATTAAACATTTTATATGTGCCTTCTCTTTTTATAAGTTTTTGATCGTTACAATATCTGAAATACTTGGTGGTTCCTGTGAACCATCTTGTAGTTCATGAATTTTCATTGTTCATTCATGTTGGACTAAAAATCTGGGAGCTCGTGGGACAGCTAGCTTCAACTGACGTTAGCCCCTCTGTGGGTCCCAGGTTGATGCAGGCACCCTGACTCTCCCACAGGCCTGGCGCCGGGCTGACTGTGGCCATAGTGCAACTCTGCATCTCCACCTGTTTGCATTGACCTCCACGGTATTCTGCTTTTCATCTTTTAAAATTATTTTCTTTTTTTTTTCAAAATGTAAGGCTTGTTGGGCTTTGCCTTACACTCTTGTAGGTCAACAGTGTAGTAAAAAGTACAGGCATCTGCTGAGAGGGTGACCCGTGTAACAGCTGGCCTGCCATATTGCTTTGATTCCGTCCATTCTTGGGACAATCAACCTTCTCAGAGAGAATAAGCAAAGAATTGGAACATACTGATGAAATGTCAGATTAGTGGCATTATATATACTTTGGTTTTCTTACTACTTTGGAACACCAAATTCAATGTCGTTTTCCACTTAGATTTTTTTAAAGAATAAAGGAGTCTCACATGCTTTGTAAGGAGACCAAAGTCTAATTAAGGTCAGAGAGTCTGAGTTTGGAATGAGTTTCAGCTCCCTTCTTACCCTCCCAAACCAGAATTTTATTTTTTGAGGGTCTATCATAATAGAAAACATAATTGGCAAAATATCAAGGTTTTATTTTTCTTCTTTCATCTCTACCACTTACTTCACGTTTCCTTGGGTAAGTTACAATTGTTCTGCAAAAATCATAGTATTCATACTTACAAAAATATAACATGAAATGTAAGCTAATAAATCATATAATTTTCCTGCTTATAAAAATATAAACCATTAGCATAATTTCATTAATTAATTCAATAAAGGTGTAAAGAAACCTTTTAAGTGTGAGTATGCTGTACTCCTCAACATTTGCAGTATAGTTATTAATAGATTATTTTATAATGCCTGTTCACACGAGATTCAAATAACCAGATAACTAATAGCTAATGTTGAGTTGAAGTCTTATTAACACTCATTTTACAACACAGGCCATCCCTGACAAAGCAGCAGTATCCTGTGTATGTTATTTTTAATCTCTGGTGACTTCTCCACTTACAAAAGGCTAACATAAGCTGCTGTGAGACACTGGAAGTGCTTCCGGGTCATCAGCACAAGAGGGTAGGATGGCTTTCATTTGAAGTCACTGTCACTGTACTCTAATGCTTCGAGGTGTATGGATTATTCATCACACATACTCCACTCGTGACTGACTAAATTATTAAACTCCCTAGAGCCTCATCTCCTCGATTTCCTCTGGATATCTCAAGGTGGCCTAACTGGCACTGGGTACTGTCTTCTAGGCCTTCTCTGTGCCCGTGTGTTTGCGATCTGTCACGAGGCTGGGGTGGCTCGAAAGGCCTTCACCTGCTCCCCAGTCCTCCTGAGTGGGAAAGAATAGTTCTTTACTTGTCATCCCCACTCCAGGCTCATAGCCTTCGTTCCTGGTAGTCTGGGCTAGGCTCCAACCTTTACAGTCCTGATAAGATGACCAATTTTAGGTAGTGGCTTCAATTAATTATGCCGATTGTCTCTTTGACTGTTCCTTCCCAGTTGTATGTTGTTGCTGTTTTTCCTTAATGCATATTTCCCCAAACAAATTATCTGTGTTTATAAGATAGCAATAAATAACAAGGGTGGGCAAAAGTAAGTGTACAGTTGTGAGTACGCAAAACACCCTTAATCAGGCTATTGTAATGATGGGAACCTGCACGTCTTTCTCTGTACAAACACCTGTAAACCTGCTTTGGCCCACCCCTGCATAATCAACCTCATTACATGATTTCCATCATTCCCCACAATGAAAGGCTTCCATTTTTACAGTGTCTTACAGTTTACCCAACTCTTGCATTTGGGCATCAACAAGCCTCTGAAACAGACAAGACGGTCATTAACTCCATTTCCAGGGAACTGGAATGGCACCCAGGGCGCAGCAGCAGTGAGCGGACCTGGCTTCTGACCCAGATTCAACAACTGCACACTGGGGGGACTTCCTAGTACCGTCACTCCGGAGGACAAAGCCCAGGGACACCTCATCAGAGGTAATGCACACTGCATACTGTGTTAGCAATGAGATTGCATACACAGAAGGAGAATAGAATGAGGCAATTGTTCCGACAGTTCAGCTAAATGTTCTCCCCTTTGCACCCAAATCCTTCTCATTTAAATTCAATTACATTCATAAAGCAAATAAAATATGACTCTCTTCAGTTACTATCATATCTCCTGGTCTCACTGCCTAACAGGCACTTGCCAAATGACAATAATATTCTGGCATTAACAAGGTAATATCAGATGATTTTTTAAGGTCACTTCAGACATCCTTCTCAACGCTCCACAATCACACCCACATACAAATACACAAATAGGTACACGTCCTTTTCAGTTCAGCTCTGAGCCAGCCCCAGTCAGCGTAACAGTGAAGAAGTGTCAGGATGTCACACACACACGCTGGCTGTCTTGTTTTTGCTTGAAAAATTACCCCTGGAATTAAATTTTACAATACCTGCCTCATCAAATAACTCCCTTTTTGCTCAAGTGCTTATCCCACTCCTCGGAAACAATTTCAATTACACGTACAATGTATATGCCTTTGCACCTTTCTTGCTCTTTTAATTATGATGATTAGTCATTTAACATGGTATTAGTTTCCCTTGCCAAACTTTCATATACCATTATATATGAAAGTTTGTATACACATACACATACACACACATATACAATAAACATTATCATTTAAAAATAACTTACCATATATTAAAGATCAAGTAAACAGAATGTTCCTTATCTATTGTCATATATATTTCATGTAACCCAAGTTACGAGTAAGTTGAAGCTTTCTTTTACTCAACTTTAATGAGATCAACTATAAATAAACCTTTAAATAGTAATTCAGAAACAATTAGGGTAACAAAGTTTGTAAGTCAATAGATGTCATAATAAAGTTGAAAACTTGAAGACTGTGTGCAGTCTGAGTTTCTACTGGTGGCCCCATGTGGACAAGTGGAAATACGTAAATTTATTGACTTTCTGATCTATCACCTGTACTTGAAGTTAGTAAGCCATCACTTTCCATATTGAGCTGGATCCTCTCCCTGTCTTCTTGTAGCTCCAAGGATTCGACACCAGGCAATCACTACCCCAGGCACCTACATTTAGTAAGACAGAGCAAAACTTCCTTTCATGTCTCTATTTGACATTCTATTCATACTGTATTCATACTGCATTCTATTCATACATTCTATTCATACTGTATTTACAATCACGGGTGTTCCTTTTATAAGATAATTTAAGCAGTTGGAGAAAATTTAACAACTGGTTCTCCCAAAGAAAACAGATGGGGTTTGCTGATTTCCAGAGTGGTCTAAATATTGCCACCACGGCTGACTTCAATTTCCCAACATAGTGTCACTAGAAAAGAGATAGCTTCATGGATTCTTGGTAGTTGGTTCTAGTTGGCTCTACTAAACCACTGAATATTACTGACTAGATAATAGACATCCATTTAAATATTTTGGAGATGATTCTGACTTGTTTTAAAATTGATTTTTTTCAGCAGTCAACTATTCTAGTCTCTGGTTTTAAAACGTAGCCCATCTCTCAACTACTACACCTTACAATCGTGTACAATGTCATATTTCTGAAAAAAAAAAACACTAAAATAAATTCGCCCTCATTGCAGTAAGTTTAGATAGAGTACTTCATATACATTCTGTGTACCTTAGGGGCATTTTCCCAGTCATCTCAAGCATTAAAAAAAAAGCACTGAATCAAGGTCAACACTGTATTGATAAAATCTCCCACACATAAAATGGCAATTGAGTATAGGCAAGAATTTCAAATCTTTATTTAAATTTGAGTCTTTTCCCAATATATTACTGGCAAATATGAAAAAAAATAAGAACCAAGAAAATATATTCTTTAAAAGGAAAGAAAGCCTGGTGAATAATGTGATATTCCTTTTCTAAAATACATTCACACCTCCATTAAGTGATATGTGCAACAATCAGCAGTTCTGACAACAGAAGTCAACTGTACTAAACTATTTTATCTTCTTGCAGACAACAAGGGGATTATTACAAAACTGTTTTCTCAGCACCTTGCCGATTCAATACGTACATAATTCCTACGCCACACTGTGATTTTATTGAAAAGGGTAGAAGTGCACTAGGTTTTATTTTTTTATTGGAAAAACTTACATACATGACTAAAAGTAATGAACATATCTTTTACTCTGTTATAAAATTGCTTTTTTGTATATATGTGTATCAATACAGCAAGAAGCATATCTACCTGGTCATGGAACAATGTCTACAAAACTTTATTCAAATGAAAGGACTGTTGGCGGATAATCCAATTTATTGAATTATTTATTGTGATGAAGCTGAAGGCCACTTTCACATACTTCGTTTCTAAGGAGGGGGCTGCCAGTTTACAGAATCCCACATAGTTTCTCCTAGTGTCATCCATACACCGATATCCTCGTTCCAGTGTTTGTCTTTCAGAAAGAAGCACTTTTAACACATAATTTCTTACACAATGTCCACTCCACCCTCTACAGACTTATTAGGAACTCAACAATAATTCCTTCCAAAAGGAGAAAAGAAAATCTGTTCTGACTTGAATATATGCACATTAAACTAGTACTGTTCTAGAAAAAAATGAAAGGTAGAAATAGTATATTAGTCATAAAATTCTTCTCTTTTAACAAGAAGCCCATTACAAACTTAAACACGTGTGATCCCTTGAAATTGCTCTCCTCACTTTGGCACATCTAAACTGGCACAGAAATTACACACTACAAGGTCTATTCTTGAGGAACGTATTTGCATTGGAATTTAAAGATGGGTTTCTGAGATTTATAACATTACATTGTTGAAGGTATATAAAAAAACAGTCTTATAGGCTGTATGTTTACAGCAAAAGAGGCTGGGGTAAAACAAACTCTCAAAAGTCTTTGGAGCATCTAGAACTTGTGACCTTGAAAAATAAATCTTGCATCAAAGGAAATCTCAATTATCTTTGAAGTCTTCTTTCTAAAATACAAATCTTTCATTCCCCCGTTTTGTACGTCCCGATGGCTAAGTCCCGTGACGCGAGTGTCCAGTAGCTGTGCTCCTCTCTGAGATGTCAGCTGCAACGGGGCCCAACCACTCTATGCTTTCTCCATTTCTCTGCTTCATTTCCTTCACGTAGCTCAGACCGGAGAAAAAAGCAGCATGTTCTGATGAGCTTGATACTATAAGGCAGTAAGATGGACCTGACCTTAGTGGAGACTGGAGCGCCAAAATAAATGTAACATCATGTGTCAAATAAGAAAGAAAAGATATTCTCCTGTACAAATCAGAAGAGAAAAAAAATCAACAAATAGCAACTTTTTTTATACCTACAAAAGAATCTCAAAAGATTGCACACTTTAAGCATGATTTACCTTTGTCTTATTCAGAACCCTTTTTATTTATTGGCTAAACAATGTTTTTTTTTATGCTGCCTTAAACCACATTTTATTGGCTTGTATTGGAAGATTGGGGTGGATTTTCCTATGAATTTATATTTTGCTACATAAAATATATTTGCTAACCCACAGCAATAAAATTCTGCTGGATTCTCTAATCTAGCAAGCTCAAAGCGTCCCTATAAATTAAACGTGTCCCAAGATTTGATATGCAAGAAGTTGCAGAGCTTTTCCACCGCAGGGTATGGTCTCCTGGTTGGCGGCACCCCAAGGGCCTGTGCAGAGCATCCGGGGCTCACCAATGGCACGGGGCGCCACTCACTCACAGAGGCTGGGCGCCTTTGCAGGCAGCTGAGAGTTGCTATCCACTCACAAAGCACTGAGCACTCCTTTTGGCTAAAAAACCTCCCCATGCTCAGGGTGTGTGGGCAATCCGTCCCTTGGGTCCATCTAATGAACTTATTACACTTCACCGAGGCAGAAACCTAAACTGTTAAAAATGGAGACATATGTACAACCACTTCCTCTAGCCAGTTCTTGTCGTCTGTATGCAGTGGGTTTTTTTCTTTTTTCAATTGCATTTTCTATTTCTAGGTGTTTGCTCTCCCCTCGGCTGCAGTGCCGTCCCGGGGCTATGAGTACAGGCCCTCCTGGCCGGTGCCGTACAGGTCCGCCAGGCGCTTGAAGCGCGGCCCCCAGTCGCTCAGGTAGTCGTAGTTCTGCTCGGAGCTGGAGCTGATGGACTCCAGCGAGCTCAGCGACTCGGCCACCGAGCCGTTGCCCTCGAACGCGTAGGTCTGCAAGGAGTCGTAGGGGGGCGCGCAGGGGTCCACGTCCGCCTCCTTCAGCCTCTCCCAAATGAACTCCCGGAAAATGACGTTGTCGGGGACGCTCTTGAAGGCGGGGCGGCTCAGGAACTGGATCTCCGGAGTCACGTCCCTGCGGGTCTTGGTGTCCCTGACCACGTGGAGGTTTCTCAGCGCGGCCATGTCGAAGGCCTCCGTGTCCTCCTCGCCCCCGCCCTCGTCGTCGTAGCGCACGATGTTCTCTCGGATGTCTCTCTCTTCGTCGAAAATGAGGGGCTCCTTTTTCCGCCGTCTCAGGGTGACGATCAGGAGGATCAGCACTGGAGCAAGGAGACAGCAAAGGGACAGTTTCAGTGCACGCGAGGACGGTCGTCCTGCGGGGTCAGCGCCCTGCAGTGGACTCCGACTTTCTGCCCTTTCAGGGGAAATCAGTTGGAGGCCCACTTACAGGGGAATTCAGAGCGGTGGAGGTGTGAAAACCCGCTAAAAGGCCCTTAAAAATAGCACACTTCAGGGCATCAAAAGAAATCATTTTCCACCCCTGTTCAGAATCCAGGCCTCCCTCTTTCCCATCACCTCCACAGTGGCATTTGATAGAACCGAGTGAAGGGCCAGTTCTGGATAAACACAGTAATTTCAAAGCAAAGACACACAAAGGGATTTTTTTTTTGAACTCAGTATAATTGCTGGAAAGGCAAAGTGGCATTTACAAATGTTTTGGGTATAATTTGGCAGCTGCAGTTTCAGAGGGAAATGGATTACAGCATTTAGTCGGGTTCTCTGAAGAAATACCTAGTACTTGTCTCTAAAACTCAGCTGTTAAATACAGTCCAGCCAGTCAGACCCTATATGAAGATGAAAAGCTTCTTTGTAGAGAATTGAACCCCGCTTGTTGTAGGAATATTGAACTTGGTCTTTATGCATTATATTGAGAGAGAGAGAATATAGGTTGTGAGGTTTTCAGCATGAGCTGGAGGCAGAGTTAAGAAATCAAGCATCTCTTTGACATTAGGAATTTGGTTTCCTATATCAAAGTTAGTAATTAGATAATAGAGCACGTGGTTGCAGGGGAAGAGGAGCAGGTGTCCCGGCCACGCACGGATAAGATGTGTCCCGGCCACACACGGATAAGGTGTCTGCTCCGCTCTGGCCGCGTGCCCGCAGAAGGGGGACACTGGATTTCATGGCGGCTGGATTAAGTTAAAATGAAGGAGGAAAGGTAATCTTAATTTTTTAAATTTAAAGATATGTAAACCAATAAATTTACATTAATCATCTGTCTACAAATAATACATCCTTTTCAACAATTTGTATCACATCAGCCAAAATTGGGGTGGGGGCATCTAACAGGCCCAAAGGATTGTTATTCCTGGCATATGTTTTAAAAAAATATTTGAAATGCTTATGTTTAAAATATCATATAAGGTGTTACTTTGGCAATTAAGAATATGTTTGAAAATAAAAATGTAAAACCACAAAGGGTATCAATGGAACTCAGAGGAACTCAAATACAGTGGTTAGGGGGTAAGGCATGTTCCATCCTCCACATTAATCTGCATTAAAACACCAAACCTCTAAGTAGCTAATCATCTTGAAAATGTTTTTATCCTCGGTGGAAAGTATGTGCTTCCTTCAGTATTTATCTGCTATCTGCTTTTCCAAACATCAGCAGGGATGGGACTGGTGAAGACGTTTTTATTGGAGCTCTTTGAAAATAGCTGTGAAAGCAAGTGCTTATGGTGACACTTTCCTCTGCCTTATTTATTGCCGTATTTTGCGTTCCCCACTTCACCCTGACCTACTGCTCACACATTAGCTTCACTGACAGCCTCCGGTTCAGAAACTGGGTACACTGCTGAGCTCTTCTGGCTTCACCAAAACGGCAGACACGTAGTTCAAAAGCCTGTCTCCGATTCGTTTCTCTGTCTGTCCCCAGGAGCCATCTGGTACTCACCTCCCTTCCCTGCTAAGTGCATTCCCCACACGTGTCCCTTCTTCTGACGCTTCTCTTTCCCACCACCCCAAAAACCTTGTGGTTTCCAAGGTCCACAGCAGAGCGCTCTAGCTCTGTCACAGCTCCATATTAGCATTCAGGCATTGGACCTTAAACTTGTCTACAGCTTTGGTGTCAAGAAGGCGTTGGGTCGAAGCCCAGCCTTTTCACAGGTTCGATGTGTGATCTTGGGCAATGAGCCCAGCTATCCGTGATCACTGTGGACCACTTCGGTGTTCTCAGGGTGGATTACAGAGCTAAGGGGCCTGGGGAGTCGATAAGTAGAGCTAGCAGAATGCCAGGCGCTTGGTGGGCAATAGGGAATTTTTCACTGTTATAACGTCAATTCGAAATTCCATGAACACAGCAAGTAATGCCATCACTTTTCTCCTTTGATCAAAGACAAAGAACAAGATCAGTTAACAAGCGAAGTAGAAAGTGTACCAAATATTCACTAAGGCGTGTGCACTGAGGATTAAATGGAAGAGAGGAAAGGCAGTAAGGTGAGAAACGGAGGTCTACAACTTGACACTTAGAACAATTCTGTGGGATATTTTTACACTTGACAGTTGTCTTAGGCATTTGAAACCACCTGTCTCTTGTCCATGACATCAAATGTGATACTTAGTGGGGGAGACATACCCCGCCCCAGTGCACTTCTGTAGCACCCTGAGTTTACTGCCCCAACATAAGGTGATGGGATCACAAGCGGGAGCTCCATTGGCAACTGCTCGTGCAGAGAAAGACAGGTCAGTAAGCTTTAAAATGTATACATAAAACAATTTGCAGTTTAGGTATAACTTGAGTTTCTGAAACTTTTTACATAGTGCCCCAAAGATAAAAGTAAGTGTAACAGAAAGAACATGGGGCTACACAAGACTCCTCTGGGGAGAAGTCAGACAGAACAGAGGGGTGAGGAGTAGCAGGGACCATCATGATGGATGGACAGGCGGAGGCCGGTGGAAATGAGGAATCTGCGCCACGTCCTGGACAGCAGAGCTGAGGGGGGCAAAGGTCCGCGAGTGCAGAAGGACAAACTGAGGGATGAAAAATAAATAAAGGTAAAAAGGAAAGAATTATGTAATAATTTGATGCTCTTTTAGATCAATGCAATGCCAAAGTAGACAAACATTTCAAAATTCTCAATTCTCTTTCCTTCACATAATTACAATGAATCCTCTCTCTCAGTCACATGCATGCACACACACTCACACACACACACACACACACACACACACACACACACACATATGATCCTTGAACAACTTGGGTTGAAACCATATGGGTCCACTTATGAGTAGATTTACAAATTGTCTTCATTGTTCAATTACAGGTGACATATGTTACTATATTAGTTTCAGGTGTGCATTATTATATTGGTTTCAGTGATTAGACATTTTTATGACTTACCAAGTGATCACCCCCATAAGTCTAATAATACACATCTGACACCATACATAGTTATCACAATATTACTGACCATACTCCCTGTGCCGTGTTCTGCATCCCTAATACTTCTTATAACTGGCAATTTGTATTTCTTACTCCTTTCAACTTTGTCACCCACGCCCCCACCCCTCTCCCATCTGGCGACCATCAGTTGATTTTCGGTGTCTATAATTTGCATCTGTTTAATTTGGTTGTTTATTTTGTTTTTTAGATTCCACATATAAGTGAAATCTTAGGGTATTTGTCTTCCTCTGTCTTGTATCACTTAGCATAATACCGTCTAGGTCTACCCATGTTGTCATAAATGGCAAAACTTCATTCTTTTCTATGGCTGAGTAAGCCGTACATATATACAAATATATACAATTTGTATTGTGTATATATATATACACAACCTCTTCTTTTCCATTTGTCTATTAATGGTCACTTAGGTTGCTTCCATTCCTTGTTGCTGTTATAAAAATTGCTAAAATGAACATAGGAGTACACACATATTTTCATATTAGGTTTTGGATTTCTTCGGATAAATACCCAGATAGGTGGGATTGCTAGTCCATGAGGTAGTTCTATTTTTAATTTTTTGAGGAACCTCCATACTGCTTTCCATAGTGGCTGCACCAAATTACAATCCTATCCACCGTGAACAAGGAAGATTTCTCAATAGTAATTTTGTATCCTGCTACTTTACCAAATTCCTTTATTATCTCTTGATAGTAATCTGGTGGAAATCTTAGGATTTTCTATATACAGTATCATGGAAGCTGCATATATTGACAGTTTTACTTCTTCCTTTGAAATATGGATGCCTTTTGTTTCCTTTTATTGTCAGATTGCTGGGACTACAAGTTCCAATACTATGTTGAATAAAAATGGTGACAATGAGCCCTGGCTGGCATAGCTCAGTGGATTGAGCACGGGCTGAGAACCAAAGTGTCGCAGGTTCAATTCCCAGTCAGGGCACATGCCTGGGTTGCAGGCCATGGCACCCAGCAACCGCACATTGATGTCTCTCTCTCTCTCTCCCTTTCCCTCTCTCTCTCTTTCTTCCTCCCTCCCTTCCCTCTCTAAAAATAAATAAATAAATAAATAAATAAAATCTTTCAAAAATATGGTGACAGTGGACATCACTGTCTTGTTCCTTATCTTACAGAAAAAGTTTTCAGTTTGTACTTTGAGTATAATGCTAGTCATGGGTTTTTTATATGGCCTCCATAAATCCATGTTGGATTATGTCAAATACTTTTTTCTGCATCTGTTGATATGATCATATGATTTTTATTTATTTTGTTTATGTGGTGTATCATATTAAAATCTGTGGCTATTGAGCAAGCCTTCCAACCTAGCAATAAATCCCAGTCGATCATATTATATGACTTTTTTTTAGTGTACTGCTGAATTCAGTTTGGTAAAGTTTTGTTGAGGATTTTTGTGTCTGTGTTCATCAAGGATACTGGCCTATAATTTTCTCTGTTTTGTAGGTTCTTTTCTGGCCTTGTGAAATGAGTTTGGGATCCTACCCTACTTTTCTAATTCTTGTAATAGCTTGAAGAATTTAGGTATTAATTCTTATTTGAAAGTTTGGTAAAATTCACCCGTGAAGCCATAAAATCCATGGCTTTTGTTTGTTGAAGATTTTTAAATTACTGATTCAATTTCATTAGTAGTTATTAGTCTCCTTAGGTTTTCTGTTTCTTATTGATTCAGCCTGGGGAGATCGTATGTTTACAGGAATTTTCCATTTCTTCAAGGTTGTCCAATTTGTTGGTACAGGACTATAGTATTCCTTTACAATACTTTGTATTTCTGTGGTGTTGGTTGTCACTCTCTTTCATTTCTGACTTCATTGTCTGGGTCTTCTTTTCATTGATGGCTCTATCA